CCCCCAACACCTCTAAATTTTGGGCTGATATAAGATATGAACACCCCAAATGGTCTCAGTCATCCCTAAAAGCACCCACAAATGAATCATGCTCAACCACCTCATCTTGCAAATCTGGCAAACATTGGCAAATCTAACAGTTAGTTCTTTCGCAAAAGCTCCAGTAACTTGTAAACATGGTGTTTCAGGAGGAGTGGTGCACCTCGACGGAGGCGTTTGATCTATAGCCTGTAAAATGAAACGTTGATGAAAAGGGACTGTTCTATCCGACACATACTTCTTGGCCACTGTTGTAAAGCATGTTGTATGACCCTTCCAGGCCAGAGATGATTAATGGACATTACGATTTATAGATCCCACACCAGAGAGAAAGTGCTGCGCTCTATGGGCCGCAAAGTAATTACTACATCCATTATTATGTGAAAACACACACAAGAGTAGTTCTTAGTTACTGCAACGACAAGCATTCAGTTGAATGAACAGTTCACTGAATGAAGTTAGATTATGAATTCAAGAGGATATTCTTAAAGTGGGCCTTTAAACCAGAGCAATTATTTGGTAAATATATCCCATATATCAAAACGAACATATTGAGCAGGGCTGCTATTATAATCCATGTGTAACCATCTTTAACTGTGGTTTCTGAGTTAGAAAAATGTAATTGCATTCTTTTCAGAAAACACCTTAATTGGTCATAATGTGGTCTATATTAAATCAATAATGCTTAATTAACTTACTGTTGGCAGAACTAGTTGTTTATTGGACATAATGTTGGTTGTAATGCTCACAGACGGCTGAGGGGGCTCTGGCCAACCTGAAGAGTAAATATGAGAACGAGAAGACAATGGTGACGGAGACCATGATGAAGCTGAGGAATGAGCTAAAGGCCTTGAAAGAGGATGCGGCCACCTTCTCTTCCCTCAGAGCCATGTTCGCCACACGGTGAGAAATATGCACCGTAACACTATACTCAAAATTCATTTGTTTGCAGTTCATTTCAATGAACCATTTAAATGAACCAATTCTCCAAAATAAATCATTATTTATATAGAAGCACATTTTAGGATAGAGTGTAAAATACAAAGTGCAAAAATAGCATTTTGTTTCACTACAAAGCTACTCATTGGAAAACGTAGCTTAATACTGGAAAAACGATACTATTTTCCAGTTTTCATGCTGCTGAAATTCTATTTAAGTTAGTTACTTCTCAAACTTTGCTTTACAACGTTCACTGGTGCAGGATGCTGACAGCATCATATATAAGCTTCGAGACTGCAGTCGAAGCATGAGATTTGGTTTATTTTTGCAGTTGAGAACAAAATCAATTGGACAGATGACTGAATAATGAGTCAACCAGAGCGTCCACAGCACATCTGAGAGGATGTTTGCCATACTAATTAGGGATGCATGATGGGGAAAAAACTAATTGCGATTTTTCAGATTTTTTTATTATTTAGATTTTTTTGGGTTATATATCAATATCTCTGAATAATAATAATAATTATTATTATTATTACTACTACATAAAAATATAAAACAAAATAAGAAAAAATGCTATTGTAATATATCCCTGTAAAATAATAATAATAATAATAATAATAATAATTGAAACAAAATAAGAAATATTCCTGTTGAAATATTTTACTGTAAAATAAAACATTTAAGAAAAAAAATAAATAAATGTACAGTTCAACTGTACATCCAGCTTTTGATGCTTTTGACTGAAAACCGCATGGAAAAATCTAATTGATTTTTTTATTTTTATTTATTTTATTTTTTTGGTTATACTGTATATCAATATGACTATATAATAATAATAATTTTTACTACTACACTAAATAAAAAATATTAAACAAATCTATTATTATTATTATTATTAAATTCTAAAAAATGAAAATTGTAACACTGCAATATTTCACTGTAAAATAAAAAACAATATTTAATAAAAATAATAATTATTATTTTAAGTTGAACCATCAAGTTTTTATTTTGGCTGAAAACTACAGGAAGCCCTGTAAAGCTTCTCTTCTATTGACAACAGGCAGTTTATAAGTGCTTCTAATTACAACTTTGGAAAGATGGTTGGCTCATGTTGCGTTCCCAAATGTGCGTTATATCCACATTTTCTGTCAACTGAGACACTGAAAACACGATTATGATCATTTATTTTAATAAAACACAGCCTTATCGGTTTTGTTTCAATTAATCATGCAGCCCAAATACTAGTTTCTCCTTTCTTTCTGTTTAGGTGTGACGAGTATGTGTCTCAGCTGGACGAGATGCAAAGACAACTCGTGGCGGCGGAGGACGAGAAAAAGACGCTGAACTCTCTCCTCCGCATGGCCATCCAGCAAAAACTTGCCCTCACGCAGAAACTGGAGGACCTGGAGTTCGACCAAGAGCAGTCGCACCGGACCCGTGTGGGAAAAATGTCCCGGCTGAGGAGCAGCACGCCCAAAGTAAGTGGAACACCAGTTCCGCCCCTTCCCGACACCCCTTTGACAATTACCGAGGTCCTTACGGCAGCAGCCGCCATCACCTCGCCCACCACACCCACCTTTACACCCACCCACCTGTCCGCCCCCAATAGCCCGCCCTCCCTGGAGGCCCCGTCATCTCCCGCATCGTCTTCCTCGTCCTCCTGGACGCCCCCAACCATGCCGTACCGCCATTGGACGATGGGCGTCCGGGCATACGTCGTCGAACCGCACACTTACACCAACCTCCTGGCCCGTCGCTATGCAAGTGAGTCGCACTATTCCCCAGGCTCCGCCCCTTCCTCGCCCTACCGCTCGCCCCTATTGGCCAGTCGCCGCTCCATGTGGAACTCATCCCAATCCCGCCCCCTTCCCAGCCACTTCCAGTATTCTACATCCCGCTACACACCCCCTTCGTCCACTTACAGCCCTTTGTATCCCAGAAACTACGGCTCCCAGAATCCCCGCTACTGACGGGTGCCACAGAGAGGAGGACACACACTGGTTTCTGTGTTTTAATGTTTGGGGGAGTGATTTCATTTTTTAACTCAGGGATTTAATGGAGCACAAGTGGCCTGGCCTTCTTCAAAAGAGACTGTTGATCAGTTCTCAGGACACTTTGTTCTCTGTCCGATCTGAGTGCACATGGACTGTTCAAGTACACGAATGAGGGACTTTAAGACAGATTCAACAGGATGTAACGTTAACAGAATGGCTTTTGTTGTGGGTTGTTGGTGTGTATCAGTGTGAATGTGTGATTGTCACTTGATTTGAACACAGAGTAAATTAAGTGGTTGATTTATAACAACAAGATTTTATATGAAATGCCGATTGCAGTATCAGTATCTGAGAAAGTTGGCTATGTTTGGAATAGAATACTAGTGTACTGCATCTAGTGTAGTATATAATGCACACTGTATACTGTTTTCAAATAATACAGAAAAAATTACTTTACTGACAGTTTACTCACCCTCAGGCCATCCAAGATGTCTTCATCAAAACAGATTTGGAGAAATGTAGCATTACATCACTTGCTCACCAATGGATCCTCTGCAGTGAATGGGTGCCGTCAGAATGAGAGTCCAAAGAGCTGATAAAAACATCACAATAATCCACAAGTAATCCACACCACTCCAGTCCATCAGTTAATGTCTTGTGAAGCCAAAAGCTGCGTGTTTGTAAGAAACAAATCCATCATTAAGGGCATTTTAACTGTAAACCGTCACTTCTGGCCAAAATACGAGTCCATAATCCATAATAACATATCAAATTTTCATTTTTGGGTGAACTATCCCTCTAAATTTGAACAGTCTTATAAAATAAGTCAAAAAAGTTGTACAAAAACTGTAGTAGGACATCTGCGTTTCTTTGTGTTACATACTGCAGTATGCTGTTCCAAACATAGCCATAGTCACAGTGCCATCCAGTGGATACACACTATAAAAGTGGCCCAGCCCATGTAATGGTGAATGTGCAAAAATTATTGAGTCACGTTTATAGAAATATAAGACACCATTTTAGTTTGCAGTAAAGATCAGATTGGGTCATATGTGAACTCATTAACGTTGTGTGTGCTTACAGGAACACGATAGTGACGCTGCATTGAATGTATGTTAATGATGAAGTGATGCATTTGTCTAGATGACTAAATTCTCAGGGAATATCATTCACTGACAGCTGTCTAAAGGAGGCCTATAACATTGCAACATTTTTTTTTACAGCACATATGATCTGCAGCAGTGATTTACAGTATAACAGATGCAGTGCTCATGTCTTGTCTAGTCAGTGTTCTTCCGTTTGTTGTCATTTTATCAGTTGCATTGATGTTTTTGTTGTTCCCCCTACACATTTACATTTTGGCAAAACACCAACATGCTGCCAAATAGCGCAGGAAGTGTCAAAACGCACTTAGAGAGGGACGTGCATGGGCCCAAACATCTGTTAAACGTCTTTTCTGTCCAAATGTTGCTGTATTTCATGAGAGGTGCCTGTGTTCTCCAATTAAACGTCTTGTGTGCTGCACCATAGACTTAGACGGGCCGCACACTGGCCTTTTAGAGCCATATCAGACCCACACCAACCTACAACACATCACACAGTGCTTGAAGCATTTGACAGGTATCAAACCCTCAACCCGAACGTGCCATGATTTCCCTGCATGCCATTTTTTTAACTGTTGGTTTTCGCTAAATACATTTTCAAATATTTATTTTTAAATAAATGGGTCATTCTGCAATTGCTGCAATTTTTCCTATATAAAACAAAATATGTTTAAATAGTATAATTATAGTATAAAAATTATATATGTCATTATATATAATAAATAAATATATAATATATATTTTATTTTTATAATATATATTTAATTAATTTATATATTTTATGCTAGAATTATATATATAAATTGTTCAAATATATGAAATAAATTCTAATTATATATACAGTATAATTACAATTTATTTCATATTTTAACAATTTGCTATTGTACTATTGGATTTGTTTCTTGAGTTTGAAAAAGAAAAGTTATAATTCTAATGGAAACATCACCGCTATTGTAGTAAGACCCAATTCTGGTCCCAGTTCAGCGTTTAATTCATTATTGCTCACACAGGCCTCAGTATTGCATTAAATTGAGTGTAAATTTTAGATTAGCACTCTGTTTGTGACTAGAAGATCTAATATTACAACTGTAAGAAGGTGACAATCTTTATAAGGTATTAAAGAGTATCTTTTCTCTATTCTTGCTGATTTTATGCGGCATTTTGTGCTGTTTCATGCTGGTTTTGCTGCATTGAAATCAAATCTGGGACTGATAAATGGGTGAAACTGATAGATTGTTTTGGTTCATACAGAGGGCTTTATGTAATTATCTGTGATCACATGAAGCAGTTTTAGGGGTGTTGTTTGTTCAAATCAGGACAGAAACCATGTGAGACCTCCTCTCTGTTGCACCTGAGGCCTGATGCACACAAACAAACAAACATGTTTGCACATGATCATGACATCACCGCTCCAAATTCTAAAAACCCAATGTCTTGTCATCTCATTCAGACCGACGTCCAATTTGAGGGAACCTGTCAAATGCTTCCTGCTTCGTGACTTTCTCTTTGATTTTCTCTCATTCATGACATTAATGACGTGTCGCGCTCCGACCGTCTGCACTAGCTGGAGTCATAGATGAATGTGTTTTCTACTGTGTGTTGCTGTAAACAGACACTTTGTGCAAATGCAAAACACTGAGGGCAGACTGTTATTCATGTCCCTGTCTGCTGTCATATGCATGTGTATACAGTACACGGCCTACAGGAAAACACTGTATATGTCTGTTGTGAACTGGACCGTAATGTTGTATATTATTCAAATATACTGTAAATAACAGGTATAAATGCATTGATCGAGTCTGCGTCCTCATTATATCAGGAGCTGGAAAATGGGACTGCTTTTATCAATTGTCAAAGCATCAAGCTACAATAAATCTTAATAATTTAAAAGAATATACTGGAAAATGCACCCACTTAAGGTGTGTTTTGGAACATGGTAGCTAGTTTCTAGCTGGTTCATGCTGGTCCAAACTGGTTTAAGTGGTTGACAAAGAAGAAACCTGCTCTATTACGCTATTTGTTGCAATAGTGAGGTAAGTAAAAGCTGTGTCCCAATTTGCATATTTTCTGTTTTTAATTATAATATTATAATAATAATTATGACTATGGTGCTAAATTTTGGGGTTTATAAGTTTGTTTGTTTTTTGATTAACTACTACTTTTATTCAGAAAGGACACACAATTTATCAAAAGTGGCAATAAAGACTTTTATAATATAATAAAACATTTCTATTGAAAAGAAATGCTGTTATTTTGAACTTTCTATTCAACAAAGAATCCCGTAAATAAGATATATGATATATATCATCCTACTACTTGTCCGCTTGATCCTATTCCATCTCATCTCCTTCAAGCCATTTCTCCTGCAGTTGTACCTGTTTTTATACATCATTAACACATCCCTTCACACTGGTGTTTTTCCCTCAGCAATTAGACAGACTCGTATAACCCCACTACTTAAGAAACCCACCCTTAACCCATCTCTTTTAGAGAACTACAGACCAGTTTCCCTTCTTCCTTTCATTGCAAAAACACTTGAACGAGCTGTGTTCAACCAAGTCTCTGCCTTTCTTACATAGAACAACCTCCTCGACAGCAACCAGTCTGGTGAAGTGGACATTTAACCGAGACTGCCTTGCTCTCAGTTGTTGAAGCCCTAAAACTGGCAAGAG